TTGACAGTATATGGCTTAAGTTTGTAACTAAGCTTGGATGATCTCAAAGTTGGATGAAATGATGTATTTATAGAGTTTTCAAAAACATAAAATCACAAAGGAGGTTTTATAGAAACTAGAGATAAAGTAGGAGGAAGCGGGGTGGTTCCTTGACCAAGGAAGCCCAAATTCTAATTGCCTGGTCTCTGTGACGTATGGCGGTTGTTACACCCTCCATGACGTTCGCCATGCCCATAAGGCGGATATTACTTGGTCTTTTAACTGTTGAGACGTGGACCACTCGCGGATACCCCCATGGTGAACGCCATGGTGGCCGCCTTGAGTGTATTTTACCTTAATTCTTATGTTTTTTGTCTGCTTTACTTCGTTTCTTTGCGAACGGCTCTTTTTGGTCATTTATCTGAAACATAGTAAAAATACCAACATAATAGAGGAAATGTAAAACAAAACGACAATAAACATGCATAAATCGAGTCAAATATATAGTGTGTTTTGGATTTATCAAGAGTCAAAAATGATCTCCACACAACATTCGATTGAGCAGCAGTAGGATGAGAGATGCTAGGAAAAGGGTTTTTGAACCGGATGGGGCCAACATGTCGACTCGCAAAGGAGGCCATATCAGAAACAAAAGTGGCTTCAAGGAAAAGGTTTATATATTTCAAGAAGTTAACTTTGTTTAAATCTTGTTGAGGGGTATTTAAGGCAAGTCGAATGCTTTCAATGGGTCGATTGCTAGGCAAAAGCATAAGGGCTTCAGAAATAAGGTGACCTACACAATGTTCGAAAGAGGCATTGAGACAGTGTTGTAACAGCCATAAGGGACCTGAAAGAAGGAGTGATTTGTCTATTTTAGGGAGAATCCTAATTCTAATAGAAGCATGTCCCAAAGATTGGTATAAAAATGTCAATAATAACTTACCCAGAGAGATCTCTCGACCTTCATGAATTTGGATGGCTAAGTTGATATAACTTTTAGCCACCTGCAGAGAGCCTGGACAAAAATAATAATAAGAGAGCCAACACATCAAAAATGCAATGTGATTTATGTCATCGACGTCTGTATTATTCTTAACATGATGATCTTCGATGTATTCGTTGAGACTAGGTCAACTGAAGTCAAACTCAAAGTTGGTTGACAGTTTAGGGTTGAGGGTTTCATCCAAAGGTGATAGTTCTGTAATGGCAGCGACAACGAACAGAGTAAGGGTCATCATCCTACAAGGAAGTTAAAAGGTGTTGCTTAAACCCTACCAGAAGTAAATCGAAGTGAGAATCATGCTAGGGTTAATCTTGTGAGCAGTTCGTGATAGTTGGATGGCGTCGAAAATACTGTCCATCTTCCATTGTGTTTCTTTATTCGCTTGCACTTTGTTTAGCCATGTGAGCCAATCCTTGTTACCAGGTGTAGGCATGGATCGAAAGATCCTAGTGGGTTTCATGAATTTCACGTTGAGAGGATGTTTTTCATAGGCAGATGCCGAAATAGGAGAAAAGCAAGGAAAGTATTGTTGAACCTTGCGAGGATGATACCTTCCATCTGGGTATGATACGTGAAATGAGAAGAGTTTTTCAGCCACTACGAAAGGTATAAGCATCTGTTTCTTCCATTTTGTTACTTTGAAAGCATCAACAGAAGGTGGCTGAGGAATGTCTTGTAAAACTTCTTCTTCTATGAGAACATAAGCTATGGGGTTGTTACTAGTGTTCAACTGGTTTGGAGCAGAAGAGGACGTCACAGTAAATGTGTGAAAAAAGAAAGAATAAATAGAGTTTTCTATGTGCGAAAACTTGCAGAAAAAATAGGTGCAAGAAAGAAGAAGAAGAAGAAGAAGAAGAAAAGATGGGAAGCTGGAAGAATATTTATAGGCACGCTTAGGCCGTTGATGATGGACAAGTGGAACCCACTTGTAAAAATTTGGTTGATACGAGTTTTAGAAGTGGAAGAGTTGGTGAGGTTTGTTGAAATCCCACACCCTATGAACTAGGATCAATCATGAGAAATAATGGGATGACTTTGGGAATAGTGGCGCAGAAAGTGGTCATTACGACGCATGAAGTCAGCCGAGTAGATAAGCAGTTAAAATTTCAAAAGAAGGAAAATGCCAAAATTCTCAGTCGACATAGCCTCCGTCGAAATTGGCATTTTGGGAGGCAATTTGTTAGCCAGCAATTTTCGACTGGGGAAATATGGTTATAAGTCAAAGGTCATCACCAAGGACGAAGCATCTTCGACACCACCAATAGCGAGATAAGAGGCATCGATAGATTGTCAAGGAAAAATCCCTCTAAGACTTAACGAAAATTCATTATAAGTGTTGAAGGTGGGTCGATAGAATAGATGAAGTTCGGTCGAATGGATTGGTGTTGTAAGCCAGGTCGATGGAGGGGATGAAGTTCATTCGAATGTGAAAGCAGTTAATATTGAAGTAGTTTTCAGTAACGACTGCCAATAGAACGTGGGAGGCTTCAAAGGGAAATCTATCACAAACTCCGAACGTGGTTATGTAATAATCGTCGAACATGTAGGATAGTAGTTACTTTTGTTGTTTATTTAAGCAAGCTTTGTTCTCAATTTAGGAGGTCACATTTTACTATACTCAAAGTAACCGCATTCAAGAGAGAAATGAGTTCAAGCTTGAAATGTATGCATGCTTCCACATTTAAGTTAATGCAAATTTACATTGTTGTTTTATTTCAAAAGCTTTGTTTTATTCTTTTGTTTCTTGTCTGGCAATTGTTGTTTTCTGTTCATTTGCATCTACAATTCTATCAAACCCAATCCAAACATTAAACTCATATCAAACTTAACACTAAGTTTAGGACTCTTGTAATCAGTCCTGCAAGTAATCTTTAATTAAGAGGCTAGAGATTGTTCGCCGGAAACACCCGCGAACAGGCGGGAGTCTAAATTAATCCACCAATTCAAATTCTTATAGTAAAAAGAGGAAACAAAGCATAAACTGTGATCCTTCTCTTTCCTGTCATTTCCTTCATTATTGCTCTCTTATGTCATTTTCTTCATTATTGCTCTCTTAAGGATCTGTTTTGATAACTTAAAACTAACGGAGCGAGACGAAATAGAATAAAATAGAATGGAGCGAATGGAACAAAACGCAACATAAACTTCATTCCATTGTTTGGATATTTTACGACGGAGCACAACTCTATTCCACTGTTTGAAAATTGAACGGGACGGAAAGCATTATAATCTTTTCATTCCATTTTGTCCGATAATGAAATGAAAATTTGGAGGACAAATTTGTAATTATGTTATTAATTTATTTCATTCCATTGAATACACCCCAATTTAAGTAGAATGAAAAACGAACTAAAATAGTGATATCGGAAGGAATGAGTTTCATCAATTCCATTCATTTTCGGTAAAATCACACAACGGAACATTACACCATTTCACTCCATTTCATTCCATCCATCTTTTTCCATCGACCCAAACAGCCCTAAATCATAAAATCCTGTGACCATTCTTTTTCTCCCTTCTCTTCCATTGTCACTCCATTACAACTCCATACTTTGATGCTTCACTGTTCGTTGACAAACACCTGATCTATAGTTCCTGTGATACTTGTCTCAATCAAGACGAAAATGAGACAACTTCATTTTGAGCCGGCTTGTCAAAAACACTGTTTTAGAATCACAGTCACGAATGTTCTGAACGCAAAAGGAGTCGTCACGGGCGTCCAATGTTATTTCCATCATTTCACCGTCCGTCGTCATTCTTAAATCTTGTGCTTATGTTCTTGCTTCCATCTCAGTCACAGGTTTTTGAGTTTTAAACGAGCAACAGTGGAAGAAGAGAAAGAAAGGAGAAGGGAAAAGGATTGGCTACCTTTGAGCCACATGTTTAAAATCAATTATTTTATTATTTATTTATACACGTGACATTGCCTTTACTATTAAAGGTATCAACATTATGCAACATGAAAGGTAGCAAATTCTTTCCTAAAGGAGAAGGGTCCTGGTTTTTATGCTTTGTTTCCTCTTGTTTTTTTAAAAAAAATAGTGGCTTAATTTAGGCTATTTGATTCATCACGGATGAAATTGCTTAAAAGTATCTTCTCCTCATCTTCCGAACCTTATAGCCACTCCAACCTAATCATAGCAGTCCCATGTTTCTCCCGCACACACAAAAATGCGGCGAAGTAAGCAATATAGTCCAATAAACAACTTGAAATGCTTATTGTTCTTTTTCCTTAGTAACCCAACCATCTCAATGCTTGGAATACATGAATTCTAGAGTGCTCTTAACAAATTTAGAATGGCATCAGCTGATGAAGTAGAAACTCAGGTATATCCTTTTTTGGGGTTCTATAGTAAGAATGTGATGTATTTGCCTTTTGGGTGAGGTAGTCCGGTTGGCAAGCAGAATAAGATGCAAGGGTTGTGGCTGACATTATGGGAGGTTGAGCGGTGGTGTGACCAACACAGACGGTTGCTGTAGATGATGGTGGACAGTAAAAGAGGGTAATGCTACAAGTCTTTTAGAGGACAGGGCGTAACATAATACTTTTAGTCCTGTATCTATTTAACGATGGTAAATAAAATCCTAGTATTTGATGACAAAGAGCAACTCATTGTCTGTAGAAATAATATCAATATTATCCTATATTGATTCAAATAATAAAAAGCTACAGCATATATTAATTAGAATTGATACAAAAATTTCAGAGATATTTTTTCCATTACATTCATTCCACTCCACAGTTAAGCATTTATTTGAGAAATCTCTTAATATTGGCAATCACGTTTCATAATGAATCATAAGCTTAATAAAAAACGTTGATGTGAAAGTTTAATGTGACGAATCCTTTCAAAGAGAGGATCGACGCTCAACCCAACAAGCCGCATAGTAGCCAAACCAAGTGACTATTTGGTTAAATTATACAAAATATCAAGGTCTAATGCAAATACATAATTTTCAAAGGTGTCCTTTCAAACATGCTACGAATGCGACAAAATCCATACATCTGACTCTACTTTCACCTGAGGTGATGTATGATCATTGATCGCTCTTCATCTAATACATAATTGGACCTTGAAAACTGGCTGCTGTTGAAGAACGGCTTCAGATCATATATATCATGCTCTTGAGCCTACAGTTTTAACAAAAGGAGAGTCAGCCACAATCATCTGAGTTAAAAAACAAACATAATTAAAGAACCGGTTAAAATTACCTTCATGGAGAGATCATCTACTTTGACTTCTACATGCGTCAAACTAGAAGTAGATCCAGCAACAATTTCTTCAAAATCAATAGCACCCTTTACAAGCAATCCGAGAATATAAAGGAGCACATCATTATAGTCCTTCTTGAAAGTGATATACTTCCTAAAGCTCTGCAATAACAAGAGAAATGTCTAAGAGAAGAGTTTCTGTCCGGTACAAAAACCATGAATGCCTATCAAAACACTGTAGCAATGTGATAGAAAGTTAAGAAAAGTCCAAAGAAAAGGTAATTTGAAATAATGCAGAATATTTATTAGCACAGATATTTAAACACAACTACAATACTGTAAAGCCTCTATTCAGTGTTTTTTATCATCAGAAGAAGAAAAAATTAAACCAAGCCAAAATTGTATCGATTAAGTTGTAATGAACAAACCAACTGTATCAATTTACATACCTTTTGCAGTGCTTTCTGCACCCCAAACTTCTGGGTTGAAATGAACGAATCAAGTAGAACACGAATTGCCATGTCCACATCCTCTGGTGTGACATGCTGTCTGAGATGCATTCTAGCATGAGCTTCAGACATCCTTATCATTGATTCAATGTGTCTTACAGCAATGGGGACTCCTTGACCATGCTTAACAAGAGAATAAGAGCAGCATGTTAGTACAACTAATACAAATAATGACTAGAGAGAAAAGTTAGTTAGATAAAAAGAGACAGGACATTACTGATGATTCCCTCCGGAGTTCTGCATACACATGAGTAAGCTTATCCAAATCAGCATCATTAAACCTTGGGAAAACATTCAACTTGGCATATGTAATGTACTTCTTCAACAGATCTTGAGGGAGTATCTGCAAACAAGCCAAAAATCATTGAGACACAGAAGACACAATCAATGTTTACTTAAAGTGAGGTTACTGCAGCAGCAGGGTGTAAGGACCTCTGGGTCAGTTGGCATGCCAGATGCATCCTGGGACTCACTAACAGACTTATCATCATTGTTAACACCCTTGGGTTGGGACTTGAAGTGACTGTCAACAACAAACTTTGCAAGCATTTCATCAGTGACTGGATCAACCACATCCTGTAAAACCAAGAACTTCCTCAATCAATATATGAACGAGTATAGAGTTTGTAGAAGAATTTATGAGAATTTAAACAACCTTCACAACGCAGAGGATGTCAAAACGAGAAATAATAGGATCTGTCAATTCAACATTCTGTGTAAACAATTTTGAGGAATCATATCTGCAAATCCAACAAAGTTCAATTTGCCAACTCATTAGTTAGAAGCTAGGAGAACAAACTAAACCATACATTAGTACTTCAATTGAGTTTAGTATGAATGACATGGAGATGAAGGCTTAAATTGGACGCTGATGTACAGTCCAGCCTGCACTCAGATATATGTAACTTAGAATAAAAGCTTATCTGTTTACCTTCCTCCAATTGGATTTGCAGCAGCGATGACAGAACAGCGTGCCTGAAGAGATGTGACAATTCCAGCTTTTGATATGCTTATGCTCTGCTGCTCCATGGCTTCATGAATACTTACTCTGGTAATATATTTATCTTAACGGTCAGACATAACTGAAACATGCAATACACAAAAATAATGTAAAAAATTACACTATCTATTTTCTTACCGATCCTGGTCATTCATCTTGTCAAATTCATCAATGAGACAAATCCCTCTGTCAGCTAGAACAAGAGCTCCCCCTTCAAGGGTCCACTCCCTTGTGACAGGATCCTTGTGTACTGCAGCAGTGAGACCCACAGCAGAAGCTCCTTTGCCAGTGGTGTATACAGCTCTCTGGCCAGTTTTTTCAACATACCTATCAGCAGAATTGTGTAAATTTAATAAGTAATTGACTGCTATAACAAATTAAAAGAAGCCTATAAAATAACAAAGGATAAGTTTATACTTCAGAAATTGAGACTTTGCTGTTCCTGGATCACCGAGAAGAAGAACATTAATGTCTCCACGCAGACGATGCTTCCCTTCAACATTCTTTTCTTGACCTCCAAACATAGCTAAAGCTATTCCAGTTTTTATATCATCATGACCATAGATTGACGGAGCAATAGACTTGACAATCTGAAATTCATTTCATAGTTTAACAACAAATATTAAATGATAAATATACCACTAGAAGTTATAGGAACATACCCTTTCTCCAATTCGGGGGTCTTTGCCCAAATTTTCAATCTCTTCTTTGTCTTCCTGTGTAAGTTTGTAGGCAGAAAAGAGATCTTGTTTCTTTGTAACATGATTTGCCTCAACAACAGTGGAAAACACTGGAAAACCATTCTTTGTGTTAAGGGACAAGTCAAAGTTATTAGTATAAACACCTGTGACCTCCTGAAAATGTCAGAACATAAACAACATAAGAAAAACATTCCAAAACACACAAGACCAAAAAATAAAGTCAAAGTAGAGGACAATACAATCTCTTCTCCAGGTCGAGCACAGTCAATCAGATCATTCAATAGTATCACTTCCTTGTATCTTGGCAATCGCCCAGCAGGAACTATTCCTGGGCTCTCTTGAAGAGTGAGCTTTTGAAAATTCCTGTAGATTGTCTATAGTATAAAAGTAAACACGTGTTAATTTCTACAAGATTATTAGTTTCAATACACAAGAATTTGCAAGGCAGTACCTGTTCAATATTGACAGTGAATGGTCCTTTTGATTGACACTCAGGACAGGAACCAACTTTCACCTCTGAATAGGAGTTCTGAAAAAATGGCCCCAAAATTGCCCCACACTTGCTACAGTCATACTTCACCTGTTGCAACTGGGGGAAAACTCCAGAACGCCTAGTTACAACTCCCCCAATTCGGATCATTGTATTCAAATGAATCTGTCTGCTCCATAGAAGGCAACTATTAGTTATTCATCCAATGGAAAAGAGAAGAGAATGGTGCAACATATCAGTTGAATTTTTAATGTTACCTAATATTTCGGATCTGATCATAAACTGGTAAGTTGGTAATGCGAACATAAATCTTCTGATGTATATGTTTGTAATTAGGATGTAGCTGAAAGACAACACTTTTAGCAACATCTTCCATCACTTCTAGAACAGAATGAGGTGCATCAGCCAGCCAAATAGCAATGTTGGGATGGACATAGATAAATTGCTTGTAATCTATCTCCAAACTGCACTTGTTAGCTGCAACATAAGACAATAAATAAATGTTGTCACAGAATATACTGATGACTGTCACAACTACAAAGCTAGTATAAAATGTATTACCTGACACCATTTCATTAATCAGACGTACATACTCAAAGTCGCCATGTTCATTCTTCGGATTGACATAAGTGAGTAAGAAATCCTTGAATTTCCTGGCTATGAAACGGCGCACTTCATCTCTTGTAACCCATTCTCTGAGAGTTCCTTGAACACGGTACATCTCATACCCAGCTTCATCATCAAAATCATCCTACATTACATGACACAGTAAATAAAATCACCATAGCTGCTAGAATACCATTTTCAAAAGGAAAATACATTCAAAGCTGAAAGTACCTCATACTGGTCATCCTCATTTTGATCAGTGGTTGGATTATCGTCCCTTGAGTGTTGTCCTCGTTGTGACCTTCCAGGTGAACTATTCATCCCATCAAGATCATCATCGCTTGGTGGTATAGAAGACCTGTGATCAGCTCTAGCCCTTTTAGAAGGCCTGTAACCGTCATCATCAGTATCTGCAATAGAATACACATAAACAAACAATCAACACCATAATCATTATGCTTTTATAATAAAGAACTTAGCTACACCTAAAAGTGAATACTATACCTACGTACATACATACATATATACATACATATATAGATACATATACACATACATATATAATGAAACATTTCTATCTAACTAGCTTAAAGTAATCCAAGAATCCCAAACATCATATAACCTTTTAGCAATGATTTTCTTGTCAAAGTAAATTGTGATAATTCATGCTCGTTCTCAAAAACACCAGAATAAATTTGTCACAGACAATACACCTAATTCTAGGTTTAATACCAATTCATTCAATAGCTATAATTCAACACCCAGCAGGGTGAAATTTCCTAAAACAATTTGGTACTATCAAACAATTATGAACAATTAAAGTTCGACACCCTAAACCAATTCCTAAAATAATAAAGATTTAAGGAAATGGTAATTAAGCAGGAATAAGCCGTGGAAATGAAATCAAAAGAAATGGTTACCCTGGTCGTGAAGAAGCTGAGGAAGCTTAGTACGATTGGAAGCACGACCATCTCGAGTATCAAGCTCAACCTCAGCAGCCCTACGATCCTCCATGATCTGATCAAAATCTCTCTCATCTTCAACAGAATCATCCAATCCAACAGATTCGAACTGGTCAGCTTCATCCATCCTCCGATAATCCCTATTCAACAACAATTAACTCAATCAACTATAACTAAACTACACAGATCAGAGAAGTAAAAAAATAGCAGAAATGAAATAGAGAACTGACTCGAGAAAGTTATCGTTGTATAGATCTTCTCCGTCTTCATCTTCCTCCGGCTCAGGTTCGTCGCGAATGATGTCGGGATCAACGGAAGCTTCGTCGTCGGAAGCGCGGCTGGTGTGAGTGTGAGGAAGTTGGTCGGTGTTGAAACCGATGGATGGAGATGTTGGCGAATCGGGAGTTGACGGGGGAATTCCTGGCTCCATTGTTCTCTTCTGAACTTGCTCTGAACTCTAGCACTTTCTCTCTCTCTCGATTTGGTTTTCTCTGGTTAGGGTTGTAACTTCTGAGGTTTATCAATTGGTGGAGTTCCCTTTTCTTGGCGGGAAAATGTTGGCGCCAATTCTCTTTGTTGGGCCTTCTCCCATCTTATACAGGCTGGGCCCATCTATCATTGGGCTTTTTATAGAAGAATGTACTATTGGGCTTTTTTTAGTACCTTCTTCTATAATATTTATCGCATTTTACAGTTGAGAAAAAAGAATATGCAATTGGATTAATAAAATTTATTATTAATAAAGTTTATTAAGTAAAATAATTCATCTCATAATTATTCTTAATATATTATAAATATATAAAAAAATAAAGTATCTGAAAAGTATATCTATCTTATTAAACGGTTAATTTTTTTTATTTCAGAGTTATATGTGATTTATTCCACCATTGCTTCGTTCTCATTCATTTGACATTTAATAAATATGACGTGTCACTATCACATTTTCTCTTAGTTTTTTTTCTCAGAGTTATATGTGACTAGGGGTGGTAAAGTGGGTGGATTGCCCCGTTTAGGTCCGTCTCATTTAAGCCCGTCCAAAAGTGAAGCGGGACGGGGCGGACCAACTTAGGCGTCCGAGTTAAAAGTCAAGTTTGTCATGTTTACTACGAGTTGGTGAGTTGGTGAGTTGGCGGGCCGGCCCGCCATTTTTTTTAATTTTTATTTACAATTTAATTTATTACATAATTTACAAAAAATAATAATTACCAAAGAGGCCTTTAAAAAATATTTCTTAACAACGCATATTAAAACTTCAACATATCTTAAATCCAAACAGTTCAAAAATAAAATTAATAAAGATCAATTACAATAAAAAAAACATAACGAAATAAACTCAAACACATTAAAAAACATATCAAAATAAATAAATAAACAACACATATCATCATAATCCTATGTTAAAATAACTGCTAAAATAACCCAATTGATAATTTGCACAAGACAAACAATGATAATAATTACAATGCATAAAGTATTATAGTGCATAAAACAATAGGACATAAATTTGTCACTAGTATACACTAATAAAATCATTTATTTTCTTAATCAACACTTGTTTCTAAAGAAAAGATGTGAGATAATATATTAACAATTTAATAATTATCCATGTCATACAATTATTCTTTTATTTTAAGTTTCTCCAATAAACACATATATCAGAAAGTTATAGAAAGAATCTTACATATTGTTTTGAACTAGTCCAATGGATAGAATTGGCTCAATCTGCTTCTACGTCCCGCATGGCCCAACAATGTTGGCCCAATAACTCAGGATCCTCTATCGGGCATTCCTGGTCGACCACGCCCTATGAGCAGCAAGACCAACGATGCCTAAGACGTACGCCTTCCCACATGGGCAACTACCTTCCAGTCTGTTTGACGCATGTAGAGCAGACAATCAGGAAAACGCACATAACGCACTTGTCTGTAATCTCTTCATTGCTCGATGCAACGGCTAGTTACGAGCACGGCTGCCCGTTTTGACTAAGTTCTGGCAGTTACCTATTTTTCGCGAAACCTAGTATCTAGGCCCAAAAATAGGAACCAATGGCCAAGCGTCGGGGGTATTATATAAACCCACACTTGTGAGGGCCTGATATTCAATATTCACACTCTAAACCCTAATCTCTTTCTTGTATCTCTTGCACTCATTCTTACTTGATCGTTGGAGTGTCTTGCAGATACACCCTCCTTCTCTCCTTAAATTTTCAGCCTAGCCGACATCATCCTTCGGCTCACTTCCAGGTTCTGATCAACAGGTAAGGTCAGTGGCGTCGTATGTGAGAATTATGTCTTCCCCGTCTTCCTTTCCTCGAAACTGGAGATCAAAGTGACATCCAAATGCTCTTATAATGGTCGATCATGACGACAACCATGTTTATGGAAAAGTCATAATTTCCTCTGTCCGTAAGACAGACGGAAACGAAGAGCCTCATCACCTCGAGGACAACCCCGACACCAGAGACGGTCGAATCATGTCCCCCAACTCGGTCGGAGGTGATCACAATGACATCCAACTCTTGGAGAATTAGAGGTCCAAGAAGCCTACTAAGGAGCCTCCAGTGATCCTCCATTCGGTTTTAATATCGCCCAACATCGACCGGGCCATGGTGGCTCTGCTTACAGATCTCAACCAAACCAATGCCCTAATTTTACAACAAAGCAACATGATTGGAGCTTGGGAGAAGACGCATCAGTCAAGATCTCTTCCTTAGAGATACTGACGACATGACTCCCGCAGTCCTTCCCCAGCAAGGCGTGGCCGCCATGCCGCATAAGAAAAGCAAGAAGTCTCATTTCTCAAGAAACGGCGTCGCACCCCTCCCCGAAAAGATTGACGTTTCCTGATCTCCAAGAATACGAGGGGTACTCTACGACCAGACGACGATCGATCACCCTCTTTGAAGCCCAAGTGCCAACAAAGGAGCATCTCTCCCCGTCAGGACGGTATCCCCCGACGAAGAAGAAATAAATACTCTCCTCCAACATCTTCTGATTGCAGTGATGATGGCGAGCCTCGTGGCCCGTTATCTAGAGAAATCATGGAGACTCGACTCCTCATCGGCATGGAAAAGCCCTCACACATGGGGACATATGATGGGACAGCAGACCCGGATGAGCACATCGAGAACATTGATGCCTTGCTCAACTACAGAGGGTGCTAAGGAGCAATCAAATGCAGACTCTTCCTGACAATGCTCAGAAAGGGAGCCATGGGTTTGTACAAGAGCCTTTGTACGCTATAGGCCATCATATAGGGGAAGGATGAGTCCCTCCGAGCGTACATCGAAAGGTTCAATAAGGAAGTCGTCCAGGTCTCCATGATAGATAGGATGATGAAATATCTCCTCGAGTGAGGCTTACACCCTCGCAGTGACTTTGCCAAAGCAGTTGGCATTGAGAATCCTACAACACTGGATTCCCTCCTGCTCAAAGCACAGGCGTACGTCCAGTACAAGGCGAAAGAGGTTGCTAACAACGCGTGAGACTCGCGACATCGTGAAAATGAAAAAGTTTCAAAGAATGATGAGCCCTCGACTTCCCGTCAGGGAGGAGAAAAGAAAAGGGAGGACAAATCACTTGATTCAAGATACTACAAGGGGACCGGTGGTAGTTTCCATATCTACACCCCCTTAAACGCTTTGTTTGAGCGTATTCTGACATAATGCGCCAACTTGGAGTTTTGACAAGCTAGGGTACGCTCTCTCTATCAAACATTGTCCAACTCAAGGACAGACAAAAGCAAGTACTGACGATTTCATAAAAGTCATAGGCACAATACAGACGACTACATCCACCTGAAGGATGCTATAGAGATCCTCATCTGGGATGAGCATCTCAAACAGTATAAAAAGAATGAGGGTCGTCACGAAGACGCCTAGAAGTCCAAGAAGGTCGAAGAGGAAAAACCCTCATTTGAAGAAACTTTCATGCATGTCGCCCTGAGCATCACCCATCCAGAAGACTTTTATTTTCCCGACCTAAACGAGGTCCCCCTATACTTCTCCCTCCACCCACTATCTGTGGGAGACCTTTCCAGCAATAATGGTCATATCCGGAGGGGGTTCAACAAATGCACGGCTGGCTCAGTCAAGAGACGATTCAAGCAACTTATAGATGTTAGCTCCGACAGAATTCCACCCTCGATAAGATCAGGGGAAGCTCAATTCACATCGCCTTCTATCGAGAGAAGTTGCCCGATGGGGCCCCTAACTCCAGTACTCCTCTGCTTGTTTGAGCACAAATGGAAAACTTCGGCGTCAGACGCATCCTGGTCGATCAAGGCAGCTCGGTGGATATAATATACTCCTAGTTGTTCAACACCTTACAACTCAATGAGACTCACCTGACCCCTTACGCTGGCTCTGACCTCCAGGGATTCAACGGCTCTGTCACCAAGTCATATGGATGTGTCGAGCTAATTGTGACATTCGGGGTGGCAGAGACATCCAGGTCGATCAAGATGTAGTTCCTCATGGTGAACTGCCTGTCATTATACCAGTGCATATTCAGGAGGCCTACCCTAGCCGAACTCATTGCGGTGCCCTCCACTGTGCACCTGAGGATGAAATACTATACTAAGTAGGGGCTCGTTGCCACCCTTCACCAGGACATACAGGAAGCAAGAAGATGCTTTGAGGCAGCTGCTAAACGCTTAAGCTCCGTCAGCATGCAGCCAAAAACAACCAACAGATCTTCCCTGCCCAATAGTTCTAGGGAGCCCAAGCCGCTACCACGCGTCAACGCAATTGACCTCGACAACGGGTTTATAAAGGAAGATCTTTAAGAGGATAAGAGAAATGGGGAAGAGCCCTTAATGGATGTAGAAAGCTTCTCCTCGTCAACGAGTAACAATGAGCTTGCGCACCCCCGTGCAGCCAATACCAGACGAGGAGTTCAAAATCACCCCACTCGGTGATGATCTGTCTATAGGAGTCAAAATCGGTGCTAACCTCCCCGACTTGGAAAAAAGACAAATTAAGGTGTGCCTTAGAGAAAATGCAGACTTGTTCTCCTATAGTGCAACATAAATTCCTGGCTTGGATCCAGAGATAACCTATCATCATCTAACGATAGATCCTACCATTAAGACAGTTGCTCAGCATAGACGCCGACAGTCCCCAGAAAAAACTGAGGCTACTGAGCAAGCTATTAAAGACCTCCTATAAGAGAATTTTATTTCTGAAGCCCAGTACACAACATGTATTTCTAATGTATTCCTTGTTAAAAAGAGTAATGGAAAATGGCACATGTGCATTGACTATATCGATCTCAGTAGGGCTTGCCCCAAAGATGTTTATCCCCTATCCAATATTGATGAATTAGTTGACAATTCTACAGGTCTTAAATTATTATCGTTCATGGATACGTATTCTGGATACAACCATATCCCCATGTAAAAAAACGAACAAGAAGTACACATCATTCATGA